ATTTGTCTTTAAATACGGTAGGGTCCGATTGAAATTTTTGGGATTTTTATAAACATATACGTACATCTTCAAAAGTTTAGCTTCCAAACACAGCAGAGGACATGGTCAGGCCGCTCGGATGTGCAGGATTGCCTGGCTCTGCTTGTCTGTTTCGCTTCCAGCAGGTAATGGTTTCTTTTCAACTTCAATTCAAAAAGGGTAAGGGTTAGAACGGTTTTCTTCCATTTGCGTGAAAAATGACAGCTTCAATGTTGGCAAGTTATAGAGACCAGTGAGAGAAAGTGCAGTGTTAAAGAATGATTTTTATTAAAAATTTGAATTATCTCTTTTCAGTTATGCTTTTCCTGACTGTGACTTGATAAGTATTGAAATATTGCAATTAACACATCACATAGTAAGAGGAAATGCAGTGTCCAAAAATTAAAATGCTACCTTACTTATTTTTGAATTATCTACCTTTATAACGCTAAATTAATGTTGTTACACTTTGCTCATTGTAGGGTGGCCTTTTATGATCAAGATGACGCAAATATATAATTATGAGTGAAGTTGTACATAAAAAGTGACATTATATCCATACAAGGGTATAAAGTGAGTGAACAGGTGAAAGTCAAAAAAAAGTTTTCTTTTGCGATCATTGCATGGACGGAATCCAAAGTTTTATAAATATCTATCGGATTTTACCTGTAATGATCAATTTTATAAACGAGTGGGGCAGTCTTTTTATATTTAAGCCAAATTTATATTTTATCCTAAACAATTTTTCGGTATGAACCGTTGGTCACTCACCGTTAAAACAGTCAATCTTTTGTAATATATTGTCAATTCAACTCAACTTGACAATGGAAACATGAGCATGATATACTTCAACTTCTTTCTGAAATGTGATTAATACAAAAATGTATGTAATTATACAAGAAAAAGGATCAAACACCGGTGAAAACAGTTACCATAGAGGGGCTAAATATTATGGTCTGTAACGGCAGACGGTGAAAGATTCTTATTTTAACTTTTTTCTATAATACAATTTTTAAAACATTGTAGTTTTGGATTGCATTGTTTTTATATAACTACCAGAGAATTCATATATGTGTACAAATGATAATTATATAATAAAAATAAGCCTCCCCCTTTCGCGGGAGATACAAAGGGAAGTAACAAAAAAATGATAAAAATATGAATTATGCGCACTTACTTCCCTTGCACCATTGAATAAAAATCAAAAATCCCATTATGACTATAAAAACGGATGAACATGAAATTTATAGTGTTTAAATAATGGAAATGCTTATTATTTGATAAAAGGAGCACCGAGAATATAAAAAAATGTCATGATTGTGGCAAAATGTAAAGAAAGTAATATTTTGACTTCAATAAATTTTACTTCCTCAGAAAGGGCAAACATGAATTTTATAATGTTTAAATAATAGTTTTAGAGAATGTTAAATACTTATTACCTGATAATAGTAACGCTAAATGCGAAACAATTCGTCAATAAAATAGCAAAATGTAAACAAAGTAGTATTTTGACTTCCATACAAGATACCAATTCACTATAACTGTATTTACTGCCAAAAAGCAACAGGTGAAAAATTTAGTTTAGGTAATTCGCCAATAAGTAACTGTTTGGATACTAAAAAGTACACAAAAATTAAAAAGCTTTTGAGAAACATAAATAAAAGCATTCCTGAGGCATAATGGGCCTTTAAATCACTGTTAAATGTACGATATCCTATGTCCTACAATATACTTATTGCTGGAAAGCAACTTTAGATACTTGGCCATTGAATATATAACAGAAGACAGAAATTAAATTTAAATAAAATAATGTTACTATAATTTCTAAGTGTCAAATTAGTTAAAGGTGGGCATTATAAAAGGGTAAATTTGTGAATATTTACCACAGATTGAGTAGAATTTTTGTTATTGTTGTTTTTATTTCTTATAGATAAACATTCCGCATTTCTGTCTAAACTGTTTCAAGTATGTAAATGTGATTTAAATAAACATGTATTACATGAAGTTTCGTTTTAGCCAGGCGTCAACTTGTCGAAATATGGTCCTGTGTCACAAAACTAGATCATTTTGGCGTCTATCTTGATTTAGTTTCAAAAAGGTGACTGCTTTTGGTTATGGTTATTGCATGATTATTTTGATCTGGAATTTGTATATGAATCGGCTGCAGATCTAAATGGGCGCGGTGAGTGTGATTTGGTTTACTCAATGAGAGCAAAGAACATGTTCTACAACAAAATACTCTTACACTGTAAAAACGGGCGTTTAAGTTTTAAACACATTTCGAAACACTTTTCCTGTTACACTTTGGAAACACGATGCGTCACATGTTCACGAATACACGGGCGCTTCTATCATGTTCTACCTCGAATTCTAACTACTGTCTTACCAGTACCAACGGTCACCTTTTCCCGGTTATACTGTAGTGAATAAAGTCCGATCTAATTGGCTAGTATGCCTATTATCCGAATTACTTTAAATGTAGAAAAAATATGTACAGATATGAGTCAGTATTTAATAAAACGACAGATATAGAAATGATAGACGAGTGAGTGTAACTTTTCTATGAGAAAAATATGGAAAATAACGAAAACTTAATTTATTTAAAGGGACTCCAATATGACTTTTTGACATGACGGGGCTGGAAATCATTTTTCGAGATTTATGTTTCACTTGATGAAGGTCAATACAAATAATTTGTGTGCAAATTTGAGATCATTTGCTCACTCCGTTATTAAAAAATCATTATTCTACTTGTGAAAAAATGACCCAAAATTGAAAGTAGTTGTTGTTGTTGTTGTTGTTGAAAGACGTTGCAATTCTTTTCACTCAAGTGGGGAAAAATAGCACAACATATGATTTTTAACTTATTTCTGAGAATATTTGTTAATTATCTTTTGCATTTTTTTCTGTTTCAAATACCACAGACTATCTATGTTTTTTTCTGTGTTGTTCTTGTTTGCTTTTGTACCACAAAGGATCGAGTCCCTTTCATACTATAAGGCTGTGTTGAATGGTTGAATGTACTCAGAATTGTGTTGTTGATTTTTGTTCTTTCATTTTGTATTTATGATATTTTTGTTAATTGTTTCACGAATTTATAGCGTGATTGTCTTTTACAGTTTTGTTATCGTCTTTTTTTGTGTTTCAAAATATTTTTATGTTAATAAAAAAACCGGAAATTACGTAGTTTTCATTTCCTCCAATTACATGAATAGGTGCGTCATGTGAGCGTACGTGAAAAAATAAACGTACGATTTGTCCCGCTGTAGCAGTAGTTGTAGTAGTAGCAGCAGCAGTAATAAGAAGTAGAAGTAAGTAGTAAATAATAATGATAGAGTAAAAACCCTTGCCGGTTCGCTGAGTAAACTTGCGACATCTAATTTTGTCATTTGACACTGGCAATTTAAATTCGTTTACCGCATCTTGTGTGTTTTAGCTGTTGTTTTTCTTTCAATAAAATATCTATTTTGAAAATAACATTTGACAATATCCGATTTTTGTGCATCAATTTAGGAATTTAGCTGCTTTAAAGGAACTCTACTGAGGTCCAAAAGCCTAAAAGCATGGACTTTGACTTTTTTACAAAGATCAACAAGGGCGCTTTAAAACAGAAAGATATGCAAAAGATATTTAGGAAATATAGATAGAATAAATTGAAACTCATTTTTGTGCTATCTTAGCCCGATTTGAGTGAAAAGCGTTGCAATGCTTTTCAATTTTGGATAATTTTTCACAATTAAAAAATAATTATTCTGGAAAAACACAGTGAGCGAATGATCTGAAATTTTGCTCACAAGTTATTGGTCAAGACCTTCACCAAATGGAACATTAATCTCGAAAAATTCATCACAGTCCCGTCATGTAAATAACCTCAGAGGAGTCACTTTAAAGGCACATTAAGCATAGAAATGGATTGTTTATTCCTTTCCAAAGGGCAAACGTGTTTTATAATGTTTTAATGATGGATTATGAACATGTTAGATGTTTATCATCTGAAGAAAGAAGCGCTGTCATTCGGAATGTAACAAAATTGTCAAAACAACAGCAGAATGTAAACAGAGTGGTATTTTTACTTCGACAAAAATACGGAAACAACTTGCCAAAACTAATTGCCAAAAAGCTAAAAAAGCAAAAGGTGGGTCTTTATATGGCAAATATTAGTACATTTTGGAAGCTGTAACAGGACACCAAAAATAACAAGCTTTGGAGAATTCAAGATATTCATGCATTTTTTGTGTCTTAATTGTCCTTTAAGAAGAACAAAACATTATTTGTTTTAACTCTATGCAACTTATCTGAATCACTCTTAACTCTTTGTTTCCTGGAACTAACAAGAACTGGTATCATAAATAGTAAGACATGTTCTTGACCGCAGTAATGCTCGATCTAGATATAAAGGGATACTTACAAAGATACGAGAATAGCGCAGATATATTTGTGCAACTAATATTATCTTATTTAATAAGTAAAAACTTATACACATAACTTTTTATTTTAATATCAGTCAATAATATTAGTTTTAAATTGATATATTTAGCTCAATTTAAATATATAGATATTTGTTTGGTTTAAAAATGAAGAAACATTGAAAAAATGCTTGATTTTTTTCTTGATAACAGTTAATTAATGAAAATATGTTGTATTTAACATTAAGTACATTGGTAACACTGTATGTTAATTCAGGCTTTTGTGCTTGTTGAAGATCTGATGTTGTCTTTTAAATGAAATTGGTACATGTAGCATATGATCTGTGAGTTGCAGGCCTACACAAATCTATTCTGTTACATACATGTAGATCTATATGACTCATAAGTTCATAACCCGTTTGTTTGCCAAAGATAAAACATGTGCAAATTGAGATTGACGCACACGATTTCAAAGAAATAAATGTAAATGATCTATATACAAAAAAAATTAAGCTGTTAGGGTGCTTTTCAAGAAATCCGCACTTACAACTCTAGTATTTTTTGTAAAAAAGTACAATTTTCGGTTTTTATTTTTGTGACCCGTTTTATATACACGTCGTGACGATTGCATTACAGATTCGCCGGTTTAAATTTTTGAAGCAAAATGACAAATGTAAAACAATCTGTAGCTGATAATCCCATTGTGTTCTTTGATATATCGATTGGGAATGTGGTAAGTAATCCTTGAAAGTAGATTGAAAGATATAAGATAGTTCCAATAAAAACCTTTGTTTTAAAGATAACGGATCAGTTTCGGACATATTTATTTCGGATAAAAAACTGAATAAAACTTTGATTGGTAATATCCTGGATTCGAAGACAGATTCCGGGCTAAATTTCAGTTTGAACTATCAATCAAGTGTGCATGTGTTTCACTTAGTGTGATACTATGCTGTATATCGGTTTCCAGAGCTTAATCGAAGGGTAAATACCAGCAAGTTCTGAAAGTAACCACAGGAACTTGAAATTCTATAAATAATGAATGATAATATCCAAAAATTTCCCCTTTATAGTATGCATTAACATAAAGAATAATGTTTCCCCACCCCAACATAATTTACCTCGGACAAATCAACAAAACGACAGATCAAAATAATGTATTAGGCCCTATTGATAACAATACATAAATCATAAATAAATGTATCCAGAGATCTGCCAAGAATTTGAAAGTACTGGGCCCTGGGCCCACTTGGTCTGAAAATGATGGGCCATTTTTACCAAAGTATGGGCCTTGGGAAAATAAGTAAACATTGACCAAAATAACTGTTAAAAAGTTTGTAGATACATGTAATTGAATTTCCCCGGTAATAAAACTTAAATCATATTTTATGACAAGTGGTTCACTTATAATTCAGTACTTTACCAATAATTAAAAATTATGCCTACATGGTAACTTTCTAACTAATATTAATTGCAGGCAAAAATGAAAATATTTTTTTAATGGCTGCTCAAAAATTTGATATGCAAATTTATTCACATAATTGCTGGTTCTTACTTGTAATGTCTTATATTGTGCATTATCCATTTAATTGTTCCTACTTTGCACAAAATGTCCCTTACCAATGTATATTGACGAATTTTATTGCCCCTTGTATGCCTCTGTGTAGACAGCATACATCAAAGACATTTGCCGACAGACCTTTTGATCATGAAAAAAGTCATGCACAATGTTTCTCTGATTGGTTAATCACCCTGTCAAACATTCTGATGACGAAATATACATCTTTTTTTACACTTCATCAGCCAAAACTTGCGTGAACTTGAGTGACCTTAGGGTTGATCAAGTTGAACACCTGTCAGATTATACTGTAACTTACAGCATTTCTTAAAATAGCAACACTTTTTTTTCAGTTACCGATAATCATTTTAAATATTAAGTAGTTGTATAATTTGTTTGTTTGTTTTATTGGATTAAATTTACGGTAGTAGAAATGAGTATCTGTGTGGGAAAGGGATTATGAGAAGAAATGCGGTAAGTAGATAACATGGACAAAAGCTATAGGGGAATGGATAAACTAAAGAATATGCGTAATTACAGGAGCATGGGTAACATGTTGCTGTTGGTACCAGTTTTGACTGGATGACTAAATAACCCAGCAGACAGTTTTGTTTTCTTATAAGTCTGGCACAGATTTTAGATGCGCCCATGGCCCTTTGCTGCCGATTTTCCTGCGCCATTCTCATTTTTTTAGCGCCAATGGCGCAAAATCGCGTCCTCGGCAGATCTCTGTGTATCTAATACCACTGATAACTTTTTTATATCGCGTACCTATGTAGGACTTAATTCATAATTTTCAGCTTGTTTCTGGCGATCATTTTCCAGGAAAAACTGGAATTCCGGCACATTTGACATCCGCAGTGAAAATAAGTAACTTCAGAGTAAATGGTTTTCCTGTAACACATGACCCTGTAATGATGAAACTTGTCATTGGCTCCAACTTTTTCTGATTTGCAAAATAGGTGGCGCAAACTAAAATTGACATGGAGGGAACCCTTAATTAAGTCTATCACCTACATTATGCATAACTGTCAAGAAATGAAAAGAAAAAAATGAATTAATATCGATAAGCCCCACTCACAATTCGCCAAATTAAGACTCGCCCCACTTTAGTGACGATTCACTTAAGCTTTGTGACGATTCGCCCCACTTCAAAATAATTTATTTGAAATGTACATGTATTAAATATTAAAATTAACAAATAATAAGATTATATGTATGTTTTGGTATATTTGTTAATTAAGATTTTATGGGATAAATCTATGACGGGTAATTGGATATTTAATTTATCTTTTTCCAGGAAATTGGGAGAATAAAGTTTGAGCTATTTGCAGATGTTGTTCCAAGAACTGCAGAAAACTTCAGGTAAATTTATTTTTCCAAGACAATTTTGTTACAGCTTACATTTCTTTACTTTGGGTTAATGTTTAGCCATTTTACCTGCTGAATCTATTTATAGAATAGTCAACATCACTAATTTTGCATCATCACTTTTATCATGGTAATGGCGTATTTTCATGTGGAGAGTGCTTACATTGGTCATAAATTACAGGTCTATAGTATTCATTCTCCCAAGAAAGTTTTTCAATAAGGATCAATATCTTATATTCTTAAATCTCTCAGTGCTTTTAAGTGAAATAGAACAATATTTTACTTATTTCTGCCAAAAAAAAGTCCCAAAAGGTTAAGATCTTTGATGTCTGTAATTAATTGTTCTTATCATCAGGAAAAATTATTTTCAGAATTAAATATACTTTGATTTTTAACTACTAAGAGCATGATAACTACCCTGTACCACAGCATTTGTTTAGAGATTAATGATGTTGTAATGTTTTAAATATAGGAATCACACAATCATGCACTAATATCTTGTTCATTAAACACAATTTTGATTCAATATGTTATTTCCTTGTGTCATATAATAGCCAAAAAATACTGCTGTAACATTTAAGTAGTGTTTGCTACAATATGAACTTACTGCACTAATAACTAGTTTTAGATACTAGCTTTTATGTAACTAGCAGTAAGTTTATTGTTTGTTTTCCTTCTGGTTTCAAAGCATTAATTATCGTCCATTAACGGAAGACCTGGTAAAAGGAACAAACAAGTTGAGTATATTCTTCATGTGATAAACATGTTACATCTTAAATCCATTTTAGAACATAATAAAACACATGAAGAAATAAGAAAAATATTTCTCAGGTCTTTCATTTATAGTTACCTGTTTTTTGTAAGAGGGGAAAAGTGTACTTCAGTTAAAACTGTTTGGTAGGCCACCTCTGAATTAAGATCCCCCTGTGAATAAAGACCATTTTTCAACAACCATTTATTGATTTAATAGAACAGAGTATTCCCCAAATAAAAACCACTTGTCTATAAAGGCTATATTTGGTCTTTCTTTTATATAGGCTTTCTTCACAGGTTCGACTGTATATAGACTTAGGAATATATTTTAGAAAGAGTTTTGGGGACATCTAATTTTTAAATTACTGTAACTTTAAAAGGTGATTTATGAATTGTGCATAGAATAATCAACTAAACAACAGCTCAAAATGGGAAAATGAATACTAAATTTAGTTATCACAATATTCTGTATAATTTTCTTGATTAAAAAGAATTTATTATATTATGTTTTTTTTTATTCTCCTTTTAGGCAGTTTTGTACTGGAGAATACAGAAAAGATGGAGTGCCTATTGGCTATAAGAACTGTGTTTTTCATAGGGTAATCAAAGATTTCATGGTGCAAGGTGGGGATTTTGTCAACGTAAGTATCAGCTTATTGAAACACTCTAGAGTAAGTTTCTGGAGCCAACCAGTACTAAGCAATGAGTGTAAAGTGTTTTGCTCAATGAAACAATGGATTGCCCCTGACAGTGTTTGAACACATACGGTCAGCAATCTTAAGATTACTAGTCTGATATATTAACCACTTTGCCACGTCACCACTCAAGTATTGAAGTTCACTGTCCAAGGCCAATAACACTTTTACTGTGATGATCAAAAATCTATGTATGAATGCTGAGCCTTATTCACTTACCTGTTTTTAAGTTCCAATGTTTATCTAGATTTTTACAAAAAAAAAATGTTTTTAAAGACACACTGTGATGTTTGTAAACATATGGCATAGCAAAATGCTATAGTAAAAAATAATCAGGTTAACTCCCTAAAGCATACAAAGTCTTATTTTTTACGGAACGTCTCTGGTTCTACTCAGGTGCCCGTTTGTGCCTGAAATAATGCACGTAAGGCCATCTGAGGTTTTCCTCCACCAGTAAAGCTGGAACGTCGCCATATGACCTATGCTGTGTTGGTGTGACATAAAACCCAATTAAACAAACAAACAAAACTTATTTTTGATCTATCAATAATAATAATAGATTGACTTCTAGGAAAATCAAATTTATTGGTTAGTTAAAGATTTTTATTTGACAGGACAACATATTTCCTGAATAATTAATGAACAGGTTTTATAATCCTATCAACTGAGCAATAATTTGTAATTTGGATTGAAGGGTATGATGTAGTTTCTGATTTCAATATAAATATTTGTTATATTGATTTTATCAATTTGAAAATTGGTTTATCCAGATGTGATTTCCAGATAAAAAGTTAACTACAAAGAACAAGATACATTTCAATTTTATGGAGAAAAAACAGTAATTGTTAATTAAAAACTTTCTGTTTGAATGTGATGGTTTATTTGCCTGTCTATTTGATAAATAGGGAGAGCTTTTGTACACACCTAGGCATCAGGGTTAGGGTCACACTTTTGTTAAGATTTTGCGTAAATTTTTGCGTTTAAGTTGGTATTTCAAAAACAACCAAAGGGAATAGGTTGAAACTTCACACACTTATTTGAGAGCATAGCATGATAGAGTGTCACTATCCAAGACCCATAACTCTAACATGGAATTTGACAGAATTATGGTCCTTTTGGAACTTACATAATTCTACAATATTTAGGCTCTTGCTTTACTATCAAGCTCTAAGAATAGTCAAGCACACTGTCCTACCAACAGCTCTTGTGTATTTAAAAACTGCTAAGTTCAAGGATAAAGAATTTATACTGTTACCTAATGTGTAACTGTAAGGCAGATTCAGATCAAGCCGATTTTTGAGACAAGAAAATTTATAGCCATTTTAATATGTTCTAGGTACACAAAGGTTAAGTAATGTAGTAGAGATCCAGTTCATTATCCGATTATGACCGGAGTAGGATGGAGCTCATCTTTTTTTTTGTCTATTTCTTTTTATTTGTTTGCAGCTGTGTGATAAAATGAATTATCATTATTGTAACAGAAAATAAGTGGTGCTGAGAAACATTGATTTTTGAGCATTAGAGTTTTATAATTCTGTGCTTAAAAATTTCTCTTTGTCAAATTAATACTATTTGCTGATTTCATAATAAGTTTAAAAGAAATAGCATAACATGGGCAAGAAATCATGTAGCCGTATTCAATTTTTGCTGCCAAATAAATGCAATTTTAGCAAATAAGAAATGCCAGAGTTTATTCTTATTATACATCTAGTATTTCATTGTAAGCTTGTCTTGACATGACTTTGTGAGCTTGTTCTGACATTTTTTTTTATCGTGAGTTGGTCCTGATTTTATTACTTTAGGAGCTTGTCCTGACATAATTGCACAAAAAGCTTGTTTTCACATTATTGCATTATGAACTTGTCTGACATTTTTTGCTTTATGAGCTTGTTCTGACATTATTGCCTTATGAGGCTGAGGATTCTCTGATATTATGACTTTGTGAGCTTGTTCTGACATTCTTTGATTGCAAGTTGGTCCTGACATTTTTTGTGTAGGGAGCTTGTCATGTCATTGCATAATAAGCTTGTTTTGACATTATTGCATTATGAACTTGTTCAGACGTGATTCCATATGGAGCTTGTTATGACATTATTGTAAAATAAGCTTGTTTTGACATTATTGCAAAATGAACTTGTTTTGACATTATTGCTTTGTGAGCTTGTTCTGACATTATTGCTTTGGGAGCTTGTCCTGACATTATTGTAAAATGAACTTGTTTTGACATTATTGATTTATTAGCTTGTTCTGACAGTATTGCTTTGGGAGCTTGTCCTGACATTATTGTAAAATGAACTTGTTTTGACATTATTGATTTATGAGCTTGTGCTGACAGTATTGCTTTGGGAGCTTGTCCTGACATTATTGTAAAATTACTGGTTTTGACATTATTGCTTTGTGAGCTTGTTCTGACATAATTGCTTTGCGAGCTTGTCCTGACATTATTGTAAAATAAGCTTGTTTTGACATTATTGCATTATGAATTTGTCCTGACATGATTCCATAGGGAGCTTGTTATGACATTATTTTATTTGAAGCTTGCCCTGACATTATTGCATTGTGAACTTGTTCTGACATTATTTCATTTGGAGCATCACAGTTTTACATTGTGAACTTGTTCTGACATAGTTGCATTGTGTACTTGTTCTTAAATTATTGTATTATGAACTTGTTCTGATATTACTTGCTTTATGAGCATTGTCTGAAGTCATTGCATTATTAAATTTATGCATTGTTATCTTGTTTTGACATTTTGTATTGTTGACATTTTTTCATTAGAATGTGACTTGTGACATTCTTTCAGGGAGATGGAACAGGGTTGACTAGTATTTATGGTGGATCCTTTGCAGATGAAAACTTTAAAATGAAACACACTGGACCTGGTATACTTTCAATGGTAAATATCTAATGTTTTTCACCATTATTCCTTTACATGCTGGAAGAGACATTGATTAGCTTTTGCCTCAAGTCTTTAGCCAGTCTAAATAGGCCCTATGCTGCTGGTAGCTCAATTTTTTATGCCTAACTTCACAATTGGGAGAATACAGTTATGAAGTTGGTCTGTCCATTTGTACTGTATGAGTGGATATTTCTGTGTGTTGAAATGTTTGCAAATTAAAAAAATTTCAAACATTTTGTGTGAGGAATATTCAGCGGATCATGCGAGGTTAGAATTGAATGACAGGTTGCTTGATATTTATGCTAGAGGAAATTTTAGCGATTTTCGTCAATTCGTGAAATTCATTAACTTAACCACTTATACAGTATGTCTTGTTACTCTTGTCTGATGAATAACTAAAGATGGAATAAGCTGTGGTTGATGTAACTTGTTCGGGACATTGTCAATGGCCAGTAGATAATCCTTAATGATTTTTAAGGTCATTAGGGTCAAAGGTCAAGGTCACAGTGACACATTTGTAAAATCCTTTTGGGCTCAATAACTTTGGATGGAATAAGCTGAGGTTTTTGTAGCTAGATAGGGACATTGCATGTGGCCAGTAGATGGGTAGCTGGTCCTTTTTGTATGTTTGTAAGAAAAAAGTGGCATATAATATTATGCACCTGGAAGTCCCTCTGTCTGTTCATGTCCACTCTGTATTTTTTGAACCAGTGAATGGAAAGTGAAACTACTTGTCTGAAATTTTACCCATATTGAGACAATGCACAGAGCATAATTTTGACATTCCTCATTATGAATGAATTTCAAAATTTAGTGTACGACAGAAATATTACATACATTGAGACAATGTGCAGAACACAAATTTGGACTTCCTCCACAATTGGCCCATCGGGCCACCCCATTTGTCACTTGATTCTTATAGACCTAGGAAGACACATTTAAGTCTTTTTTATGTGAAACTAAAATACCAAGAGATAATATTTTTCATGTAGCATTGCCTTGTGGAACTTAACAAAATTGTTTTAAATCATACCCTTTGGAATATTATTAGCCCTGCCCTAGGGTCACTTGATTTATATAGACTTATAGAGGAAGATAGATAAAGTCCTATTGTTTGAAATTGGGATCCCCTAGATTGCTGGTTTCTCCTTGGATGTTAAGTCTTATAGCTATTTGTCTCTCACTGCTGGTTTTGGTCATATTTGATCATAAAAAGATCACATATAAAACACTTTAAACTTAAATCTCTATTCCAGGCCAACAGTGGTACAGATACAAATGGATGTCAGTTCTTTATTACTTGTGCAAAGTGTGACTTCTTAGATAACAAACATGTGGTATTTGGTAAGAAGTTATTGATTTTCAAATAACAAACATGTAGTAATTGGTAAAGAGTTACTGATTTTCAAATAATAAATATGTAGTATTTAGTAAGAAGTTGTTGATTTTCAAGTAATAAACATGTAGTAATTGGTAAAGAGTTACTGATTTTGTAGTATTTGGTAAGAATTTATTGATTTTCAAATAATAAATATGTAATATTTGGTAAGAAGCTATTGATTTTCAAATAATGAATAATAATGTAGTATTTGTTAGAAGCTATTGATTTTCAAATAATATATATGTAGTATTTGGTAAGAGAAAAGTTTATAACAGATATAGTAATAATGTAGTATTTGGTTACACAAATCTTTATTAACAGACAGTATTCATGTACTTAATAATTTTTTTAGAAAAAAATTGTAATTTTGTAAGAAACAGATTAAATGCTGATGGGCAGTTCCATGAGATATCAATTACTTTAAAGCATTATTTTCTTAAATTAATTTTTTTTACCTTATTTTGTAGGTAAAGTTGTTGATGGGCTGTTGGTATTGAGGAAGATAGAAAATGTGCCTACAGGTCCAAACAATAAACCAAAACTTGCTGTTATAATAAGTCAGTGTGGGGAAATGTGACACTTAATATAAATCAATGTGGTGAAATCTGACACAGCACATAAATAAATCAATGTGGTGAAATGTGACATTTGTTAAGTCATTGTGGTAAAATGAACAAAACACATTTAAGTCAATGTAGTAAAATTTGACACAACACATAATTAAATCAACGTGGTAAAATGTGACACAGCACATAATTAAATCAATGTGGTTAAATTTGACAAAACACATAATTCAAGCAATGTGGTTAAATTTGACACAACACATAATTCAAGCAATGTGGTTAAATTTGACACAACACATAATTCAAGCAATGTGGTAAAATGTGACAGTTGATAAGTCATTGTGGTAAAATGTCATGCAACACATAATAAAACAGTGTGGTGAAATGTGACATATATCTGGGAAACACGATTGCAGAAAGAAAGTAGAATCTTGATGTCTTTGAATAAGTGAAGGCATTAATAAAAACTAAAATGTTTTAACAAGTGTGAAATTCTGGTAGATTCTATCACTCTTAAGGATTATGTAAAAGTTGAACTCTCATTTGCCGTGCAGGGCGTGTAGGATCACAACTCATCAAGGTCATCTATATGATACAGCCTTTCAGAATAACACATGCAATATTCTTTATGAATATTGTTCATATCAAGTCCTCATACATACAGTTTTATTACTTTTAATCTTAAAAAAGTCTTTTCATCCGAGTTTATTTCCTTTAAGAAAATTTACTTTTTATTATATGTATTTTTCATTAAAAAAATATTAAGAAATTATAAGTTTATATTTTGATTGTCAATGTCAGAATTTTTATTTTTGAGGCTCATTTAGAAAAATAACAACAAGCATTATTGTGGCATATGAGAATTGCTTGTAAATTCATTGTATTTTACCATCAGTAGATTTTTGTATCGCCTGCTACTGAGTAACAGCGACTTATGAGCCGCGTCACGACAAAACCAACATAATGGGTTTGCAACCAGCATGGATCCAGACCAGCCTGCGCTACCGCGCAGTCTGATCAGGATCCATGCTGTTCGCTTACAGACCCTATAACAAGTAAAAAAACTGATAGCGAACAGCATGGATCCTGAACAGACTGCGCGGATGCGCAGGCTGGTCTGGATCCATGCTGGTCGCAAACCCATCATGTTGGTTTTGTCATGGCGAGGCTCATTTAGGGCATTTAGGGATCACTTCTCTGTCCATCCATCACAAAACTTGTCCGGAATACTCCTCAGAAACTAATGGTACAATTTCATCTGAACTTCACAGGATTGATCAGTACCAAGTATTGTTGTGCACATCATTGGTACAATGATTTTTGTCACGAGTTATAGCCCTTTAATGATTTTTTAATTTCTAAAGTATTTTTTGTTATACTACTTGTGCAAATTTAATGAAACTTCACAGGATTGATCGCTACCTCAAGAACTTGCGCATAATAAACAGGTTTTCCGCTTGAATGATTTTAGCCGAGTTATGGCCATTGAATAAAAAACGTGTTTTGGTCTGCTAATGGTTTTTGTGTCTCATGTGACACAGTAGCTCAGGCTGTCAACCAATTCCTATATTCCTATAAAACTCCTATATTTTGGGTTGGAATCCTATATTTTAAAAAAACTCCTATTTTTCCTATATTCTCCTATATTTTGAATATTTTTCCTATATTTTTTTAAAAATATATTGCCGAGGAATTCAAAGAGATTTAAATTTTGGTACTGCTTCTGGCCTATTGTATTTTACAGGTAAGAGAATGTGTATGCCTGCATCAGCATCACATTACTATGCTCAAGGCTGCTGTGCTCCACATAGCCATCTGCATGGTCACCATAAAAAGCAGTGCATCAGTATGTCAACTTTATTTCAGGTGACCATTCAGATGATGGTCATGCATTGCTGTAACTTTCTGCTGATGCTGTGGTTCAAAGCTAATGCAGGCTGTCCTGGGCATCCCTAAAATTCCTTAAAAAGTGAAAAATTGGAAGGGAATTCCTAAAAATGCCCTATTTTTTTCACTGAAATTCCTAATTATTTTTATCTTTTGTTATAAACATACTTATAACTTGTAACCCTGTCAAAATAATCACTGACATAACTAAGTCGACCATGTTTTGAACATGGTCAAAAATGATTTGGCCATGATTTGCCAACTCTAAATTGATGACATTGAAATGGTTTCATTTCAACTAAAAGTTACTTTGACTATGTCAGTAACATTGCTATTTCATAATCAAAGCAGTTGTTGATAATCATGTGGACAGTTAACAGCAAAAACACTACCATATCATGGTCCTGAAACTCAAACCATAAGAGTCCACTTATTCTTGAATATTTTGACACTGTTTTGCCAACTCAAGATATCTTGAATTTTATGTTTGTTCATTTTATCCAAATTTCTGAAGTGGTCCATTTATATCATATCATATTTGAAAATGATCATTATGAAGCTGTTGTAACACAATCTTAATTAAAAACATGTATAAATAGTTGTCAATAATTAATGTACAATTTGTTTACTCACAACTCTTTTATTTAAATCTGCATAATATCAAACCAACATTGTAAAGTACTGAATGGGTTAACATAGACTTTGAAAAATTAATTCTTTCCCTCATATTCATTTATCCTTTTCGTATCTTTGTAGGAGAAATTGCTTATTTTGCCACAAAGTTATCAATTTCATTCAGTTCTTGTTCTTTCATTCATATGGTCCCATTTAGGAAAAGGCAGACTCATATAATTAATCACACTCAAAATAATTTGGCAGTTCAGTAATATAAAGCTCATTTCCAATTACAATGTACACACATTTTGCAATTATGTGATCTAGATAAACTGCAATTGAATGCTCTGTGTGATGAACTTTTTTGATGTGCAATTCTTTGTGTTGATTATAAATGCTTCCCATTTATTCAAATGACTGTACTAAGGCAAATGCCTTTTTACCTACTTTTACAAAAAATTTCATTTGTCCATATTCAAAAGCTGCATTGTGCAAGAATTTCACTGTATAAGAATTCCTTTTAGACACTTGTGGTTATAAAAAAATTAACATTCCCAAAACATAGGTAGAACATGTTCTTTTTGACATGTTCAGCCATTTTAAAAAATATGGTTTGAACATGATTTGACTATGACCATTTCCGCAGGGGAGGGAGTTGACCAGTGAGTCCACACTGGTAGCACCTTTGCTCAAACTAAACTAGAGCATTATTTGTGAGTTACTTATGTGTCAAATATGCAAAGGTTAGCCCACATCATGGTCTTTTGGGACCTTAGTTTATTTAGTCATAAAATTGCAAATTTTAGCCCTAAAATTTCTGAAATATTACCCTAAAATTCGCCCTAATTTTATGTCGGAAGGTGCTGGACAGCCTGCTAATGGTTTCCTTCATTTATACGGTAGACATTTTATTGTAGAAACAGCATGTGTAAAAGTAAGAATAATTTACATTTATATAAGCATTGGTAAGTTAAACAATTTGAGTTGAAAACTCCTATTTTTTTGCCTCAAAATGGTCCAAAAACTCCTGTATTTCCTGCTAAAATATTCCTATATTCCTCCTTTATTTTGGATAAGACCTGGTTGACAGCCTGAGTAGCTGCAACATGAAATTTTCTATCATCAGGTGACACATGTGATCACTTATAGCTCTTGTTATGCTAAATTTCATGATTTCAAATAAATAAAACAAACCAAGTTGGAATTTTAAAAATAGTTAATTTTAATCATTTAAATAATTTTCATAAATAACTCCTCTTCACAGTTCTCGAAATAAATATTTATCTATAAAAATATGTAAATAAAATGTAAAAAACAATTATCACAGTTAACAAGTGGAATGTACAAATTTTATTAATTAAAACTACAGTAGGATGTCACAAAATATTTGACCACTTTTACCTTTTTTTTCTCCTTGAAGGTTGTTTTCCAAGCTCATTTCTAAAAAAATATTTCATTTATCAAAAGATTTCTTGAAATTGTTGTTTTTTAAAGGTAAACAAGTGTTATAAAACGTAAGATTCTGAAAATAATTGTTTTTCTAATTGGTTATGAATGACTTGTCTTCAGCCCATACTCCCTTGAAATTACATATTTGTGACTGGTCAGTTTTTTAATTTAGAACTGTCTTTATTTCAGATGATATATGTTTAATTTTAAATGTCTAACACTTTAAACATGTACATTGTACACTGCTGAACAATGTACAAAAAGTTTTATGTTTTAAAACTCACGGTTCAAAAGTAAAAATGTATTTTTTATTATCTTATATTTGATTATAGGCGAAATACTCCTTTGAAAGTCCTTATTCAAGGCATGATATTGTTTTTTTGTTGTTTTTTTCTATCCTGGTTTTTAATCACAGAAACTTGAAATGCCACTTTCATAAAATGTTAATTTTAACAATAGTTGGCTAAAATAACAGATGTCTTTCATAGTGGTAAATTGTATATTATTGAAGTTTTAACATTTATTCAGACACGACCATGGCATGTAACATCACTCGGAACTGTTCTGATGCATCGCCCTTTAACGTCACCACCACGCTTGCCTCCATAACTTTGTTTGGCTGAAAATATAGAAACAAAAACGTTTAATTTAACTTATTTTTCACACCCAATAACCCCTATGGGACCCCTGTGGCCGAGTGGTTAAGGTTGCTGACTTGAAATTTAAAATTTTCATGTTTAAATGTTAAATTCTACTTATGCGGGTACTACATGTAGGGGGCGTGGACAGAAGCTTGCACTTCCCAGTGCTGTCCATTAACAGGCGTAATCAAACATTTGTCAATTTTGCAGTTTTGGACTTTCGTTTGTTTCATTTAAAGCCTTTTCCCAACAGTATTTCAGTCATATAGGCGGTTAGTTTCCTAACCATCGTTCCTGGAGAGTTACACCAGTACTAGACTACCTTCCTCCGTGCTAAACTACCAAAGCATCTCCTGGGGATCGAACTCACCCCAGAGAGGTAACTGGATTAGAAGTCATCGACTCTAACCCCTCGACCACGGAGGCGGTATCTTTAAGGATTCTTATTTCTCTTTTTCAAATAGCATGCCCCTGACTGTTGTAGGTTGATACTTTGGGATTTTATTATGTGATGTAAAGAAGCTAGTAAAACTTCTGTCGTCCAACAAAGTTACCCATATAACCCTAAAATCACGCATGAATGGACCTCCAGTATTCCTACAAAAGTAAAGCCAGAAAGACACCATATGACGTTTACACAGTCACTGTTGCTTAAAACACTACCATTAACCTTAACCATGCCACAAGAATAAATCAAGGTCAAAATATGATTCACTCCTAGGTTCCATACTGTTTGATGGACAATTTCCAAATTTAAATCCTGATGTCCCTAAAATTGATAATGGACAGATTGAGACCATTTTGTAAATTGCTACAGTCACTAACAAACAAGCCATTACTTTAAGCCGCATGCTAGTTCCAAATATATTCTTCATGAACTTGAAAAAGGTACCAATAAGTTTAATTACCCTGTTCCAGTGTATCTAAGTTTTGGGAAAGACAAATATATGTGACATTGTGGAACATGTTTATAATATTGCAACATATAATAACGGTGTGAGATAATAAGATAACTTACATCATATCCAGCAGGTGGCGTCCATGTTATAGTTACAGGCTTTAAGATACCTGCCTCTACCATGCCCTGAAATGTACACATTTGTTCCATGTAAAATTCTTACAATACATAAAATAAAAAAAATGTTTCGTTAGTTTCCTAAAATGTTTTAAATTAGGAATTTTCTACATTACATGTATATCTTAAAATAGTAGAAGACCTTTCAAACATGTATAAGATATAACTAACCTATTTTTGAACCAATTAAAGTGACTTGTTACGAGGGCTCATAATTTAAACCAAAAACACTTGTACACAAACACTTGTTTTATAAGTCCCCAAACTTTCTGCTTGGCCATTAACTAGGAAAGGCTTATCCGGTCATTTGACCGTCAACATGACCAGGGAAGGTAATGGTCACAGACAACAGTTATTTTTGACCATGTGGGATTGGGAACTAAAAATCAAGTCATATCATAAAGATATTTAGAGAATATTCAAGTATTTTTTCCTACCACCAATCCTGAAATATTTATTTTCATACCATTCGATGAAAATAAATCCTGTGATTTATAGAATAAAAACTTGAGTTTTGTGTTTATTATATACGTTTGTCTCTTTTTCGACATTACAATTTGAAAGACTTCCCCTTAAATTTTGTGTATTTGTTGAATTAAGAAGAAAGTAGTTAAGCAAGACACCAGTGAAAATACAGAAAATATGTTTCACTGCAGTGAAAAATAAATTTTTACAGTGAAAATATGGAAAATGAAAATACACATTTTATTTCATTAATATTTCTCCTTATTTCGTTTATAAGTACATGTATATAATTATATATCAGGACCTGTTAATCATTTGTTACAGACTTGTATTAAAATGAGTTTATTGAGCTCTATATAAAATTTCTGTGATTGGTATAAACCTTAACCTGCTGGCGAACCAAAAGTCTTGCTACTACAATGTACTAGCAAACATCAGCTTGTATATCTATGCAGGCAGACCAGGCGCTTATACTGTTGGTAGCTAAATTTTTGTATTTTGATATTGAAATCCCTAAATCTCTAAATGGACTGTTCCTAATTCAAAGCTGGACAAATCCATTATCAAAAGTCGGCAGGTTAAGAGAATGAAGAATAGTCCATGGTAACGGGCTTTAAAATTTTATAGTTACCTTCTGTGGCTCAATCGTAAAGCCTTTTGGTGCTATCAGTTGAACATTCTCAAACGAAAATTCACCATTCTGGAATACAAGGAAAAAAAAATTTATTACAAGCATCAAATGATAAAATGTGTACAGCATAATTTTAAACATTTTAACTTTGATACATTATTGAACTTGCATAAGACTTTCAAAGTTCGGGGTTTTTTTTGGTTTTTTTATTTACTTTAGCCACCATTAATACAAGTTTTCCTTTTTCGGCCATCACCTCTATGCTTGAATCAAAATTATAACTCGATCACTATTTGCATCTGATTCATCCATGGGGACTTGAAATTTTATCAAATGTACTGGTATTCAATAATAACAGAAGTACCCCCAAAATACACTTATATTTCTGGATATCGTTTGAATATTTCTATTTATATCAATCATTTGATAGAATTTTAACTTGCCATGATTCATCCTATTTTTTACAGAAAATGATTCACCAAATGTTATGACCATTGGTGACATTTTAGCTGCACCTGAAGTTATATTTAGTAGATTCATTTCCTTGTTTACCTGTAAGATTCCTACCTTTTTCTATGAATATCTGTATAAAAATGATTTGTTTACTGTTACCATATTTTCACAGGAGACAATTTGACATTTATATATTTTCGCAAAGACTTATTTATAGATATCCTTCATACTGTTATGTAAATAATAAAATAATTTATACCAGAGAGTCAGAGGAAAGAAAGAGGACTCTACAACCAACACCAAATCATTTATCTACAGAACCACTTAAAATCATACACCAATGTAAATGGAGTTTGCTGGATCATTGTTAGGTTGGCATGCATAATGATTAGTATAAAAAAAATCATTTTTCAAGTTTAAATTATAGTAAAGGCAAGGTAAAACCATAGATTGCCCAATAAAGTAAGGCAAAGATATTAAAATCATAGATTGTCCAATTAATTCTTAAATCTAACTCTTTTTTTTGTTAAGAAATTTCAACAGTGGCTTTTATTTGTACCCTAAGTAACCTGCTGAATTTGTGAAATGGATTTGACCAGCTTTGAATTTGGAACAGTCCATTCAAAGTTAAAATATGAAAATGAAACTATCAACATTTTTAGAGCCTTAATGTTGGACTGCACAGACGAACTGGTTATCCTGTTTCATATATCAGTGGTATCAAAGGGCTTTAGGCTAATCATTTTTAGTCCCAGCAGGTTAAGGGCCTACACTGCTATAAATTTGACATTTCCGAGTGGGCCAAACAAAAAAAGAAATCTTTGATCTGTCAAAATATTATGTCTATTTATGACAGGTATAGTTTTACATCTAGTTTTATAACCAATGTATTTGTCAGGAAAATATTTGTGAATTAAAACCAATCTTACTGAATAAGTAAAAATATTTACAATCTTATAAATGGATTAAGTTCAAAAACACTCCTTTAACTATTAATAGGCACGAATGCAGTCACTGCCACAACATTGGGAGCATTTGTTAGTGCTGTCATAGGGACAGCATTCAGTGCTTGATCATCATTAAAGGACAAATTGAGATTTGAACGCAAAACTGTTATAAGTCCTTTATTTCATATAAGTTACTGGCCAGTTTTGCAGTTTACCCTCAAAATGCCATTCAGAAATTTCACAAAGGGGAATTATTAAGTCAAAATCAATGCTAGAGTTTTGTTTCTTGAGTAGTGAATTGTCCGAAGATATGTCTGAAGTTTAAGGCAAAAGGTGCGCTTTATGAGAACTAAAATTGCTGGTTTAACAGTAACCAAGTGTTACCCTGATACCATGATAAATAGATGAATAGAATAGCCCTCATTTCATTGAAAAATTAAGCTAAATATAAAACACTTGATATATTACTTGTGTACTAGAAAAAATTTCAATTTTTATCATTTAAACTTTTTGAGAAATTTACCGGAATTTGATCCTAAATATGTGTATCTTAAAGATATATGAATGATAAAAAAGAGCTTACATGTAACCCACACAAAACACACACTGCTTGTTTACAATAAGCCAAAATTCACCACAACAAAACACAGATTTTTGATACTTCAATTGTAAGACGTACAAACCCGTCAATTTCATTTACCCTTAACTTGCTGAATCTAAAAGTATTAAGCCTTTGCCACCTATGAAAAGCCACGCTAGCCTGCACATCTGTAATGCCTGACTGCAGTCTCTGACCAGGCTCTTTACTGCTGGTAGGTCAAGTTTTGTATTTTGATATTGAAATCACTTAAGCTTTGACAGGACTGTTCCACCAACTACAAAGCTCCGGGCAAATCCAATACCTTATAAAATTCAGCAGATTAAGGGTTGAAGATGATGGATTGTATACAACCAGAATACAGCAGTCTGACCATTGGAGCATGGAGCAGTCTGGCCAGACTCTGTGCTCTCAACTGCTCAATTTTTTATACTGAAATCTTACAAATCTAACTCTCAGTAATAAAATCAAAATTCCAAATCCTGTAACACGTGTTCAACTAGATAAAAGATATTTAAGTGTTCTTTATTTTGCAATGCAACCCTTTTCCATATCTGTTTTTTTTCGTTGCATATTGAAATAATAGTGTGTGCTTAAATTACCCGTATTGCTTTATCCTATAATAGAGAAACTTGCATTTATGTTTCAATAGCTACATGGCAGTCTTTCTGTTTACAACTGAAACAATCAGTGCTTACCATGCATACACTGGCAAATCTTGTAATATTTTCATATTTCATCATTTACATATGACAAAGCACATTAAATAATAAGAGGACTTATTAATTAAGATTCATTTTATCCCTCCAATATGTTACAATATAATAGAGTACTACTCATGGACGGCACTCATTGTCCATATTGCCCTGGGGTTGTCCCACACCCTGTATGGAAAAGTTTAAATTTTCAAGAATTTACTGTGTAATTATCATACTGACATTAATAAGTTGAGAAATGTTTAGGTCAAAATTGGATATTATTGACCCTGCTCACTGTAAGTATGTATGTGCCACAAGACCTATAAACTGAGCTGTAACTTCACATTCAATTCTTACTTTGATTATAGAAATATCAATAGGTTACATGTACACAACTTACAAGTTTTTGAAAGCTCATAAGAATCACATTTTCTTGTTAATAAATGTTCAGCTTGAATCATTAAAATATTACTGATCATTTAAATAGTATTTAAATTATACACTAAAAAGTCAAATTTCCTAATAAAAAGTATAGCACATTTTAACATAAAATTTAAAAAATAAACTTGAATTCATACAAATAAATAATGACACTAGTGTGAGAAAATTTCAGAAAAAATATTAATTAATTTAAACAGCTAACTGGAGGGAACCGACTTAGTGACTAGCTGTAGTTGTTTAAAAGAGTTTCATTTTTTTTCTCCTATAAGTGTCTCAATATAACATAATAATACAAGCAATTATCATAGTATTGCAAGCAATCCATAAGTCCCCTACCGGTAAGAGCCCAAGCACGATCTGAAGGGCCATTGGCCATTCACTTATGTTCCTATTTAAATAAATTTGTTGAAAAAGTTCTTTAAAAGTGATCACAGGTAACAGTTTTTATGTACAGACAGACAGACAGACTGAAGGACACTCTAAAGTTATTTTTTAAAAGTCCCTGTTATCAAAATATAACATTTTTAAAATCCTATCATGATTGAAGAAGTTGGAGTAAAAATTACCAATTTCTCAAAAAAAAGTCTAAGTTCAAAAGGGGCATACTTCTGGCAGTATTGAACACTCACAAATGTTGAGTGATAATAAGAAACATTTATATGAAGTTTGAAGTAGATACATTCAGAAAAAGAAGTTATTATAAAAACAATGTTTTTTTCATAAAAATTTTATGTTCAAGGGAGGTAATTCTGATAAATTTTGTGCTAGAGTTGTAAACCTTGTCACATATGATGTGGTTGATGACAAGCAACTTATATTTGAAGTTTGAAGAAAATACCTTAAGAAATAAAGTATTTATAGTGAAAAAACTTAAAAACTAGAATCAGAAATCTTGAAATTCAGTCTATTTGTTGCCATAGCAACCAGAATTTTCAACATAGGAAGATAAGAAAAGGATGTGCATAATTTCCATACTGCCATCTACCCATATGTCAAGTTTCATAAAAATATTTTCAGTACTTTTTGCGTTATCACTGGATCCATTGGTTATGTGTAAAATTTGCCATATTTTCAGTCTATTTGTTGCCATAGCAACCAGAATTTTCAACATAGGAAGAAAAGAAAAAGACGTGCATAATCTCCATACTGCCATCTATCCATATATTAAGTTTCATAAAAATATTTTCAGTACTTTTTGCGTTATCACGGGATCCAGGTTATGTGTAAAATTTGCCATATTTTCAGTCTATCTGTTGCCATAGCAACCAGAATTTTCAACATAAGAAGAAAAGAAAAAGACGTGCATAATCTCCATACTGCCATCTATCCATATATCAAGTTTCACTAAAATATTTTCAGTACTTTTCAAGTAATCGCGGGATCCAGTTTTGTTGACGGACGGACGGACGGACGGACTGACTGACTGACGGACAGACGGACGGAGGGTAAACCTAAAGTCCCCTCCGGTAAACCGGGGACTAATAACATAATAATATAACATAATATAAATATCTTCTCATTACTGAACAGTTAAACAGTTAAATGATATGAGTTTACCCGATATCCTGGTTTTGGTGGATCCTGAACATGTAGCAGACGGTAAAAATTACCCACAATGCATCAGCCAACAGGAAGTGGATTAAACAGAAGAAGCATGCATCACAAACAACAGGAATGGAAGGTTTTTTGGTAACAAAAGAGAAATATTATTAAATGAAAATAATGTCAAAACTTTGATCACAACTACTGTGAACACTTGCAAGAATTTTCTTTTTTCCAGGTGAAAAATGAATTTTTAATGAAACTTCAGAAAAAAAAAGGGGAAGTAACTTTGCTTTGAAAAAACAACTATATGGATACCAAAGACAATGTATTGAATAACTTTCAAAAATTTGCAGTAATATTTGAATAAATACTTTGTACATCACTAATGCATTGGTTGTTAGAAAAAAATGTTTACTGGCCATATTAATTATCATTATTTAATCAGTTGCAGACGAAACATAAATAATTATCAAAACCAAAAGAAAAAGTTTTTCATGCAAGTGTTCACAATACTAAAATGTTAGCCAAAGCTATATATATTATCATATAATATCAAAAGCAACTATACTGAAGCAAAATTATATAATATATATTAGTTTGTTAAAAAGCTGAACTGTTAATATAATATAACATGATAACATAACTATGAAATAATGAATGCCCCTTTACACATTTCAGTCTGATAATTTTTGCATACATGTAGATCCCTGGCCTGTCGACTTATTCTAATTATCAAATAAGTGGATACCATAAGAATTTAACAACAAGATATGTAACTTATTAAGGTGTTAAGTCAGAAATTCAAATTTTATGTTTTTAGACTTTCGGACCTCAGTGGAGTTCCTTTATGGTGTTTTAACAGGCAGCTTAAAAATACATAACAATCTTTAAGTTATCAAACTAAGGGGCATCCATTATACACATAGTTAAGGTCTATGAAATATAAAATACTATGAAATCACTTCATCATTTCAAGGTAAAATTTTTGGAGCGGAAAATTTTAATGGCGAGAGATGGGTTAAGTTTTTAAGTTACTACTCAGACATTGTGAAGTTCATATGGTCACTGTTATTTAATGAAGACCTCAGTTGCCCCTCAAAAGATAATTTCAGGCACCAATGTGTACCCAGAGTAAAAACAAATTTATGGTTAAAGTTTAATCATAACCTTTAGCCTGTTGGCGACAACCATTTTTACTCTTGGGCCTTGTGAGTCAAGAGAGTGAAGTTCATAATCTTTATTATGGTAAGGACTCAATAGGCGTTTATTAATGAGCCGCATCATGACAAAACCAACATAGTGTGTTTGCGACCAACATGGATCCAGACCAGCCTGTGCAACCGCCCAGTCTGATCAGGTTCCATGCTGTTCGCTATCAGTTTCTCTGTGCGGATGCGCAGGCTGGTCTGGATCCATGCTGGTCGCAAACCCATTATGTTGGTTTTGTCGTGAGCGGCTCAAATATTCTAGGTAAAATGATTCCATAGTACAATATATTCTAAAGTTACACTATCACATCTCATATACATGTATCGCAAAGCAAAATATTTGTTACAGAAGAGACGATGTTACATCAGCAAATACGTGCAAAACTAGCATCATTATTAGGTGAATATTAATAAAAATAGATGGATAAATTTGTTAATAATCTAAATTAGTTAATAATCTAGATTTGTTTTAGTTAAAAAAATATATGGGACGATAATCCATTTTTTTTTTTTTTTGATAACAAACATCCTTTAAGTACCTGTGTTTAACAGGGTATCAGAGAAAAATTTTAAGTATTTAACCGTATTTAAATTCAAACTTTGTTGTAATACTTCAAGGATCTTACAATTTGACTGCCAGTACTGACCAGAATAACTCCAGGGTACCTGTTTACAGCGGTAACCAGGCTCTGCCAAGTTTCCACTTAACATTTACCCGAGAGCTAGATATTCCTGTCTGGTACAAATGTAAATGACAGCCTGTGTTTGATTTTTCTCGCATAATAGATGTTTATTATACTTTGAAAAGAAATTATTATCTCTAATTTTTTTGACCAATCACATTCAGCCTTAGCTTTATTGACTTTTAGCCTGCTTGTACACAGGTATCAAGTTTGAATTCAAGACACAGATGTCTGACAGATTAAAAAAACACAAAAAAAACACTCTAAATATAGAGATACTACATTCTAAAATTGTTAATTCTAACTAAGATTATTCCGTATACTTTAATACTTGAAAACTTTATAAATTATAATGTGAAAAACAAATTGACATTTTTATTAAAAAAAATCTAGTTTCTGGTATTATCATTAAAACAATTGCTATTATATAATAAGAATTCAGTTCAAACATTATCATATAAAAACTATTTGGACAATCATTCAAACAATAGCTCTTCGGTGATTATCATAAAAAAAAGTCTGTTCTGAAATTACCATAAAATCAAGTACGGTTCTGAAGTTGTCATTAAAAAATTAGCATTCATAAAAACCTAAGACAGTGTAAATGTTATAAAGTATGTTTAACAATGCAACAAAAATCTCAAATACTTTAAACACACATTTGTTAAAATTAAAATCAAATCAGTAATTCAGACTTGTTAAATTCAAACAGTTTCATTGTATTGAACAGTTAAGATTATTGGGAAAAGAACATGCATGTGAACCGACTCGGTTCCGGTTCTTACCTTTTTCTGACTAACGGCCATGGTTCTAACACAGCCAATCATAATATCTCTACTGGCAGGCTGGTATGCATCGTCTTTAGCCACCGATCTGAATGTCATTAAAACTGTTGGCAACTGCAGTCTAAGATCTAAAATGACGAAATAAAAAAATTATTCATGACTAATTGTTACTTTTGTCTTAACAAAAGTTTTGATGTAAAAGAACATCATGTTTGACCTGTCTCAGTGATTTTCAATGATTAAAATATTAGCATTGCAGTAATTCAGGATTATTGTCTGACAAAAAATCATACTTATTTTAAGGCTTACTGCACCTTTAAATCACATACATTGACATTCATCATTCAAATAAAATATTTCATCGAAAATTTTATAATAATTTTTTTTCATTAGATACAAAATGAATGTAGAAACCTAATTAAAAACTTATGAAATTTTTAAGCAAAATATGACAAGCCTAACTTACCTTCCTCGTCCAATTGTGGTAAAGGTTTCACAGCAAGAGATTCAAGTTCTGGTTTAATTGGGTCGCCACCCTCTAAAAACATGATGCGTTGCTTAGAAATGCCCTTTATCTGGAATGCTTGACATTCCTCCTGTTTAAAAGAAATTTCATTTATTCAGTTTATCACATAACCATGAAATCTATTACCCTTGACCTGTCTTATATCACATAACCATGAAATCTATTACCCTTGACCTGTCTTATATCACATAACCATGAAAGCTATAACCATTGACCTGTCTTATATCACATAACCATGAAATCTTTAACCCTTGACCTGTCAAGTATATCACATAATTATGAAATCTATAACCCTAATGACCTGTCTTATATCACATAACCATGAAATCTATAACCCTTGACCTGTCTTATATCACATAACCATGAAATCTATAACCCTTGACCTGTCTTATATCACATAACCATGAAATCTATAACCCTTGACCTGTCTTATATCACATAACCATGAAATCTATAACCCTTGACCTGTCTTATATCACATTACCATGAAATCTTTAACCCTTGACCTGTCTTATATCACATAACCATGAAATCTATAACCCTAATGACCTGTCTTATATCACATAACCATGAAATCTATAACCCTTGACCTGTCTTATATCACATTACCATGAAATCTATAACCCTAATGACCTGTCTTATATCACATTACCATGAAATCTATAACCCTAATGACCTGTCTTATATCACATTACCATGAAATCTATAACCCTAATGACCTGTCTTATATCACATAACCATGAAATCTATAACCCTAATGACCTGTCTTATATCACATAACCATGAAATCTATAACCCTTGACCTGTCTTATATCACATTACCATGAAATCTTTAACCCTTGACCTGATTAAGGGATTTCAGTATTATTTATATAAAAAAAAAACTTACCTACCAACAGTATACTTCAGACCATACAGATCTTCACCTAAGTGCAGTAATGGGTTAACTCCTTATATAGTTTAATAGAAGTTAAACCATTACTGCACTATAGTGACTAGATGTGCTGATTGGCCTGACTGTACTTGGGGCAAAGGTTAATTGCTTTCATTTCCAGCTATTCTAGGGTTAAAGTGAAATTATACTCATTTTTCTCATTCATTGGTAATTGGGCTGAATAAACTATATATTTTAAAAGATTGACTGGGTAATAAAATGGTGTTTGAAAAATGTTTAGGATAAAATATAAATTTGCTTAAAATACAAAAAGACTGCCCCATCTTGTTTATTAACTGAACATTACACATAATTTCTGATGAATATTTACAGAAATTTCTTAAGGCCATGTGAGTTCTTTATCGTTCAAGAGAAAAAAAATCATAAAATTGAAAGGAATTATGCCAAATGTAAACTGATTTTGACTTTCACCAGTTCATTCGCTATATACTCTTGGATGGGCAAAATGTCATCGTAACAATTACGTAAACAAAATTGTCTTTGTAAAATTTCGGGGGAAAGAAAAAAAAGACACTTTGAACTTTTCATATATGTATGTATCTATATAAAATACTTCCATGAGGTTATAATGATAATTATAAAAACACAATGCTTTCTACTTGGTTGGTTCCAGGTAGTGGACTCCAAACTAACTAATATAAGTTGCAAGAACTTGTTTTCGCAATCAAGCTTAAATAAATATGTTTAAACCAAACCTGCCAAAAATTTGGAACAGTTTGTTTCCAGTTTCAGGGTTTTCAATACAAAACTGAAAAATGGGCTGTTCCAGATTAAGCAGACAACAGGATATATCCAAGTCAAGAAACTCAGAGCCAAGTTCAAAACAGGGTAAAAATCTGGGAAAAAAATAATCCCTCGAAAGCATGAATCAAAAGAAAACAAGATATGTTTGTAAAACATGTATGCCCCCTATCAGCAGCCATTTAGTCATGTGATAAGGTTATTATGCATGACTTCTGACCCAGTGATCAAACAATTAATAAGGGTTATCAAGTATCTACTGGTCATGACCTTAACCTTTGACCCCTTGACCCAAAACTCAATAGGGTCATCTGCTGGTCACGACCAATCATCATACAAAGTTTGAAGTTCCTAGGCCTAAGCGTTTTTAGTTAATTGATCGGAAACCGTTTTTTACCTACAAGGTCAATGTGACCTTGAACCTTTGACCCCAAAAATCAAAAGGTCATCTGCTGGTCATGACCAATCACCATACAAGTTTGAAGTTCCTAGGCCTAAAAGGTTCTTTATTTATTGATCGGAAACCGTTTTAAATA